AAATAAAAATAAATTATAGGATACAAGCGGAGAGAGGCGATACAAAGAGGTGAGATGACAAGGAGGTCACACGGTCACACGCCTATAATACTCTTGGCACATTTGTCGATTGAATCCAAGGTGGCCAGTTGATATGTACCAGAGCCATCCCATAGGAGGCAGCAGTACTCCATAATTGTTATTCTGTCATCAGGTGACCTTAATGTGTTTTGTTAATTAAATTTTCAAGGCATGAAGTGCCTTACCTTAATAGCAATAAATATCTACATCACGGCCTCAGTGGCTCAACGTTTTATACTGTGAGTGTAATGGGACGTGCCCCAGAATGAATTTCGTTGCTCTGGTCGTAGTACATGAAGTTTCCTTGTCCGAGATCAGAACTTTGGTGTGGTTGTTTAGAACATTTTTTTTTCTCATTTCGTTATTCACTCTCAGCATGGGCTCAGAATCTAGCCGCTAGCCGCTTTGAAGGAATTTTTGTTCTATCTTTGTATTAATAATTAAGATATATTTAAGTTTGAGTTTGAATCAAGCGTCTATACTAATATTATAAATGCGAAGTCTGTTACTTTTTTTGCCTAAATCGCTGAACCAATGTTGATGAATTGTGGTATAGAGATAGATGGGATATAGAAGAAGGACATAGGCTTCTTTATATCATAAAAATAAAATTTGAAGGTGATGAAATAAAGGAAACTACGGAAATTAGTATAGTTATAGTAAGCTACTCGAAGTTACTTATTTTATAAGTCGCTGGCACCAGCTAGTTACGAATTAATTCCTGTGTATGTAAAACCATAGTCGCAGATTTGGGCTTCATTTTTCCCATTTAATATTTTCGATGTGGCATATAAAATGACATCCCATCGAATAAATAATTGACCTCATTCAATTTTCGTTATCGATTATTGCACATATAATATTATAACAAGTGATAAATATGTCATTTGCCTGACAGATGTGCTCACGCGCTGTTTCAGATCATGTTACGATTTAAATATTTGGTTCGAATGTTAATTTATTACAGAGCTCTCTCCGGCCAGACATACAGAATAAACAAAGTAAACAAACTAGGCAGGAAGCGAGTAGGTGTACCTATAATTTAAATACATCCGTATTACTGAATAAAATCAGAAAGATAATACACGTATCAGCGGTTATAAAGGCTACCGCAGTACCTACGGGCGAGGAGACTTATAACGCCGACTCACGCCAAACAGCGGAATACGACTTTGACCGCCGCGTCAAGCCGTCGAACACCAAAGAACATATTAAACTACAGAGTCAAGAGAACGTTGAAACAACTTGAGCAATGCAGGACGAACAGCAAGAACCAAATATGGAAAAAAGGAAACATTTGTTGGAGAAAAGAAAAAAAGTGGATCTGGACACGATCCTGGTAGAGGAGCTGGGCCAGTTCGGGCTGTACCAACTGCGTATGGTGCTACTAGCAGTAGTGGTGGTGATCTTTGGCGCGTGGGCTGCTGTAGAATACATCTTCACTACCGCTAGGATAAGCACAAGGTCAGATATATATCTAAAGAACGGAAGTTATTAGCTGTTGAGTATTTGTTTTCATAAGCAATAAATTTTGCAAAAAATCATTCATTGATGATAAAGTCAATGAATTATCATTATAAGATAATAATGAGGCAAAAAATGTGTGTCAAGTTCATAGCAAGTGATATCCGCCTGCCCTAAAGGGAAAATAACATGCAATATGTGAATATTCACGGAAATTTATTATTTTTTTATTAGCATCTTCATACAAATTTGTGTATGGTTCCACAGATGTCTGATCCCAGAATGTGAAGAGCTGTCGAATACAGTGTTCGCGCCAAAGTGGATCCTAAATGCGGTGCCTGGCACTAGCAACACCTCATTCGAGGGTTGCGCGCGATACGCCAACGTGTCGTTAATTAACCCTGAGGCAATAGATCGGACATGTCCCGCGACCCTCTTCAACCAGCAGCGGACAATCGATTGCGAGGCGTACGTTTACGCAAGCTCTGAGTCTGTCGTTTATGACTACGGTCTGGCATGTGACGAATGGCGACGATCACTGATCGGGTCGGTACGCACGGCAGGCGTGCTGATTGCTATGCCGTTGACGGGATTCGTATCGGACCGATGGGGCCGGCGTACAGCACTCGTGATCAACGCGTTTAACACTGCCTGGATCGGCTCATTGCGGTATTTCGCCGACACATACTTCGGTTTTCTCATATCCGAGTTCTTTGAGGCTGTTTTCGGTGCGGGTGGATTTACTTGCACCTATATTTTGGGTACGTTTACTCTTCATTATGAATGATATATCTCTGCATATGAATAACATTTGTTTGAAGTTCTACCTCAGTTATGTCCTTAGCAGAAGTTAGTTAGGGAGAGTTAAAAAACTGAATGTGTGACTAGAAAACATATTAGGAATTTAAATTACGGCTTGACTATCGTCAGCAGTAAAGATAAGTTGCACTGTATGTATATATGTTATAGTTTACCTAAAATGATAAACGAGGTATACCTACGCACGTGGTGTATGCATTTTTGAAAAGTAATAAAAAGATAAAAACGTGCTTAGATCAGGATAACATAGTATATTTTCATTAATCTTCAAAGTGTCGAAAACATTTTTTAAGGTAATAAAATATTTGTAGGGACTCGAATTAAATTTCATTTTTGTTTTTTAGTAATGGAGCTCATGGGTCCCAAATATCGCGTCGCGGGTGGAGTGGTGATGAACACTTTCTTTGCGGTAGGGCAGGTGACGTTGGGCCTTATAGCCTGGGCCGTGCCTGACTGGCGGAAACTCACACTTTCGATTTACCTGCCCCAGTTAATTACCATCTCATTTTACTGGTTGATGGCAGAGTCCGTACGTTGGTACTTGAGTAAGGGTCGCTACGAAGAAGCTGAGGGTGTCCTTAAAGATGTCGCTCGTATCAACAAGAAACAACTATCCGAAAAGTCACTTCAAGAGCTCAAAGAAAACGCTGAAGAAGAAAAGAAAAAGCAAGACCTAGAGGAAGAAATCAAAGCAAAGGAGCCGTGGTTGATAGTTGAGGTGTTTCATCACAAATCGATTCTATTGCGTTGCTGTGTGTCACCTGTATGGTGGATCACGACTACCTTTATCTACTATGGGCTGTCAATTAACTCAATCAACCTGACAGGGAACAGGTACCTGAACTACGTGACGGTATCAGCCGTAGAGATTCCTGGATTTTGGATTGCGTTCCTGTTGCTTGGAATTGTAGGCAGGAAACCTGTGCTTATTGGGGCCTTTTGGCTATGCGCTGGTTGTCAGATAGCCTTTATCTTCATTCCCGATGGTACGTATTTTTTGATTATCAAATTTACTTAATTATGTATATCGTTTTCATAAATTTATTTTAACACCTATAATGTTGTGTTTCCAGCGAATACGATTGCGTCGTTGATAGTGTATATGATCGGCAAGTGCTGCATCGCGACGGTAATGTCTGCCATCTACGTGTACACATCAGAGCTGTATCCTACCAAGTACCGCAATAGTCTGTTCGCCTTCTCCTCGATGATGGGCCGCATCGGCTCCATCCTAGCACCACTTACGCCTGCTCTTGTAAGTTGTGATCATCATTGCCGTGCAGCAAGTTAGGGTCAGTACTCGTAATAACCAAAAAATGTGTACGTACAGGGATCAGAAGTGTGGGAGCAGCTACCATTTGCGCTCTTCGGAGGATTTGCCCTGCTTTCGGGACTACTAGTGCTGCTTACTCCGGAGACTTTAGGCACGCAGCTACCTGATAGCATGGAGGAAGCCGCCAACCTCAAAAAAGTGACACGTGTAGCGTAATATTTATTCTAATAGTTAGTTACGTAATGATCATCCACAAGATCGAAATCTATGGAACACCAGACAAGATATCGTCGCTTAAAAGCTAAACGGCTGCATGTCAAGAGTTCACTTGTTTACAGGAGAGGCGATCAAAGCTTTCGACCTCATTTCTTAACATTTTAATATTGTTTTATTTTTAAATATGATGTAAAACAAACAAATAAACAAAACAAAATGCCAAACAGGCATTTGCGTAATTCCGTTGTTTATAATGCCAAATTGCTAGGTGTCTTCGTGTAGTATTAAAGTTTGACCGTTTTTAAACACATTTTTGCAATAAAAACATTTTTGAATTTTTTTGCGATGCGGCGGTTTTGCATTAAAGCGACGATATGTCACATGTGTTCCCTTTGTATAAGTTTTTAGCATTAATCGGTTGAACTACCCGCCTTAGAGTGTAGCGCAGTTAAGCTAACACCTTGTTTACTTTTTGTTTTAATAGTACTATGATCCTGTATAATCTGGATTGTTACCTATTTATTTAATCTCATCTATGTATAAACTTGCGTGTAGATTAAAGATTACGTACTAATTCGCGATAGGCATTCGAAATAATTGCCGGTAAATTAAATCGTTTATCATTTGTATTGTCCTCGAACATGTGTATTGACAATTCGGTTATCATATCTAGTTTACGATAAATAAATATCTTTGTTATTGTTTAAAAGTAATAAGTCAAAAATATATGCCAACTAAAGTGACAAGTTTTTTTTTCTATAAGCGAGAAGAGGATTTTGGTGGAAACCTTTTCCAGCAGAGGGACACAACAGGTAATTTTTTTTATGTTAGATGCAGTTAGATTGGTACAAGTTCATCTTAAGGCAAGTTACCGAAGGAGAACCGGGAAAAACTGTTTTCCTAGATCAAATGGTATATTTGATATTAAATAACAGTCTTACAAAACGATATGACCAATACACCTAAGGATATAGTCTACAGAATGTGCTAATTTGTTACTCGACAGGATGTACTTATCCGATCATATAAAATCCTGAAAACATTCTAAAATAAAAGTATAAAACGAATTATTTAAGAATAACGTAATCTAACTTTGTATATAATTTTTATATGAAAATGTCTCTTTTTTTAAGTACTATAGAGAACTTGCTACATTTAGTTTCTCAAGTGAAGCCCTATGGTTATTAAATTTTAACGACACGTTGCGCTGCCCGCTGCGCCGTCAGTCACCATCAGGCGCTTGTCGACGTTTGATCTGTGTCAAAGTTTTCGTGTTCTTGTTATATTTATTTAAGATTATAGATTTAGGCTCGCGTTGAAATACCTCTTTACAAGGATTATTTATTTTGGTCACCAAATGTAACAAACTTTACAAAAAAAGTATACAGGCACATGAAACTTTATTTTAAACCGATTTTAAAAAAAGGAGGAGTTCTCAATTAGTTTGTATGTTTTTTTTGTATGTATGTTGCGTGATATCTCCTCCATTTGTGGACCAATTTTGATGATTCTTTTTTGTTGGAAAGAAGGTACCTCAGATGTGGACCCATTTAAATTTTAAGAAAATATCCCTCATACCTCAAAGGGTGGCAAACTAGGGGATGAATGACTTTTGAGGCCGGTTTTTTTAACCGGAGGTTAGGTTGTTATTTATTTATTTAGAGAAACATACTTATACAAATCTTACAAGAAATATATTAAGTTCCTAAAAAACTGGTTGTTCCATTAAATACGTACAAGTATTACAAAATATGAGTTTGTACAATAGACACCTATCTAAAATACACATACAGAAAATAAATAAAACAATATATTGTATACAGTAATTAAACCTGTCACAGAGGTTTTATTTTATTCACGGGGTCCTCTGTCAAATATAATATTTCAGAAATCAGAAACATTTACTATATGAATTGGTAAAATACAGGTGTTACTTACAAGTGATTAGATCTACAATTCTTACCCAAATCAGGCGTACAATGTCTTAAAATTACAATTTATAATTATTTCCCACTTTTGTTCCTGTAACTCGTCAATGATAACGAGAAAATGTCGATGTATTTCAATTTTTCATTATAGTACTTACTCGAGCGTCGAATAAATGTGTTTTTGGCGTAACTCGTAGAACAAGAGCAACAATAAAATGTATTAGTAGCATTGACTTACAATTATATGGACGTCGGGTCCGCGCTAAAAAGTGTCCGCACTTGTAAGGCGCTAAAATCGTATACAGAGCGCCAAACTCCGCTTTAGTCTTCATTTGTTCTACTGACAGCGCGATACTGCGATGACATTACAATTTAAATTTCGAATAGGTTGACTTGGGACATTTTTTTCGTGGTTTTTGTATTAGACCCGTCGTCCATTTATTTGTAAGTCAATGATTAGTAGTAAATTCTAGGAACATTAAAATTAATTAATCTTGAAAAAATCAGAAACTTGTCAACTTTACGTCTCAGGATGACAAGCGCAAGGGCAGTGCCCGTTAGATCTTTGTGATTTAACCTTCAAGTCCTGACGTGGTTTAGTCATATCATCAATGGTGACGTGACGTATGTCAGACGGCTTAATAAAAAATCGAAATGGATTATTTTTATTAACTGATTTGTACAATTTTTACTTGTATTATTATCTGTTCATTATTATTCTATTTAGGAAGTGCAAAAACAACAACATTTGAATAAAATCAGTATTTATTAAGTTCAAATTATATAACCTATATTTCGCATAACAAAAAAAATATATGTTGTAATCTTAGGTACAATACAATTATTTGGAAGCTTTTTTGGCAAATTTCTTATATTTAAAATATCAGCCTTAATCAAAGTATTGTTTAGGTAGCATAATATTTTGGGACAAATTAGTTTTTGTCTACACAGTCCACGCATATAGTTTTTGAACATCCAAGACAAATAGGCTTGCGGCATCCGATGCAATTGTACTTAGTACGTCTTTTGAGTCTTGATGGGCAGATTTTGCATGTTTTTCTCGATGCTTCTGTACTTTCAGGGGGTATTGTTTCAGGTTCCGGGGGCTTATTTGGACCTAGTACGCGTGCGATTGTGAATCGCAATTCTCTCGGCAATCTATTGTTGTATACGCGGCGTTTCAGGTGCGGCAAAACTAAACTGTAAGCAAGGTTCTGAAGAAATTGTGCTCTGGGAATATTAGGAACAGCACTGCAGGTCTTGTACAGAGCATAGGCGTTGACTCCACTCAAATCCAAGACTCTGAAAAAAAATTGCGAGTGGCCAACGTCTGGTTCTACGATTTGATGAATAATTGGAACATTTTTTGTCGATTTCATCAACACCCCCTTTTGTTTTATTATAATCTAATATAATTTCCGGCTTTTTTGATAGTGGATCCAATTGCTTTGTGTGGTGCATTGAAGAAATCAATAATACTGCTTTTGCCTTTTTAGGGACATATGAAACAATAGTGAAGTCTTTGGTAAAACCGTGTAAAGATGATTCAGGCTGACGAGTTTTAGATGCTTGAAATTCAGGTGGGATGTGCCTTTTATTTTTTTTTCAAAGTTCCAATATACGTCAGACCTCTAGCTTTCAACTGCTCCATCAATTCTATGGAGCTAAACCAATTGTCGGCTGTAATATTGCGATTGGTTTTTTCAAAATCCTTACACAATCGTAATACAGATTGAGTTGGGATGGCGAGCTTTCTCTCGGTTTCGGTTAGTCCCAGCCCATCAGAGTCTTTTCCATGGTAAATGTATGCATTATATACATAAAAAGATTCTGCATCACATACAATTAAAATCTTCAGACCATACTTGGCCGGCTTCTTCGGCATATAAATAATAAATTTGCATCTGCCTCTAAATGGAACTAACATTTCATCTACACACAGATAAGCTCCAGGAGTATATCCCTTTTTGCAATTGGCAATGAACAATTGAAACATTTCTGAAATTGCAGCTAATGGGTCCGTTTCAAGGCGTTGCGATCTAGTGTTACTGTCATCAAAACGAATAGTATATATAATAGTAGTTCAAGAGAGTGAGAAATCTGAACTGAGACATCACGCAACGAAAAATTTCACGTCCAGAACCATCAGTCGCAAAAATGTATTTCGTGTTTTCGTGATTCGATTTGAAGACTGAAGTATAAAATAATAAACCCAGGAAAGCTTTCATTTCCTCACGATCGGTAGGTCTTAGTTCAATTTTATTTGAGTTTTTATACTTCGTGCAGGCTTCTGATAATTTTTGATTAGTATAGGTAACAACCTTATCAATCATAATATTGTCAAATAATTCAAGCCATAGAGATTCCGAATCGATAAATGTTTTGGGCTGCTGTCGAGGAATTTCAACAATGTTATGACTTGCTGTACGACTCGATCTGATACCAGGTTCTTCAAATGACCACTTGTAACCATTTTTCCCATAATAATACTGATTACTAGAAGAAACTGGAATAACACTTGCAGTTGCAGGTCCTGGAACTTGGTTGGCACCAAGAGAAGACACGGTAGTCGGTCTGATTTGTAACTGATTCTCATTTTCCTTATCTTGGTCGTCTCCTGACTGTTCAGATTCCGTATCATGATCAGATTGTAAGATGAAATCTGGGTCTGCCTGATCATCGTCAACATCGCTAAAGTCGCCCTCAATTTCCGTTTCTAACCAACATTGTATAGTATTTTCGAAGTCTTCACTGGTAGAAGTAACGAATCTCTTTCTTTTACGGCTATTTTTTGAAGTACTTGGTTGGTCCATCTAAAACAATACGATAAATAATAAGGTGACGTCTTGTAGACACTTAGAAAGACACACACTAATAATGATCTGACGTCTAACAGACTCGCAACATTAATACTGACCTTACGTCTGAGAGACACTGCGCAGCTCCACAGCCAAACGTGTTGTCGCGCCGCCAGCGAGCGCTCGACTGAATGATCGACGTGTTCGATCGCGAAGCTACAGGGAAGGGCGCGGGTGTATCTTTAAAGGCTTTGAAATACGGCTTATATTTGTGAACTCACCGTCTATGAGACACCCACGTCAGTAGTTAAAGGTTAAGAGACATTACCACACTACCGACTTTTCAACATCAGCGTATTGCCAAAGCACCCACAGCGGCTACAGCGTAGACACAACGTCAATGCGGCGTATACCCGACGTTCGGCACTGTTCCACAGTTGCCCAGTGCTGGCGTTGCGTCGACGCTAGAGTGGGGGTGTCTAAAGCTTTGCGTGACACTGCAACTATTGTCTGTTATGGACAGATGTTTCGCTTATCACCAGCCGCACGACTTGTTCGTCACTGGATTTCATAAAAAATGCTTTCACTAGTATAAGCAGTATTTTATTAGAGTGTAAGTATACTTTTACTAAATGTAAATATATTTTTTATTACTTGCATTTAGTAAAAGTTACTATCTGAATGTATTGTGAAACCCACGTACCTATTTAACGATAATACTGTAGTTATAAGACTATCTGCCTGTAGATATAATTTGCCTTTGAAACGACAATGTAGTATTTAAATGAAAATAAAATATTCCGGGAAAATTCTTTACATTTGGTTTTATAAATTGGAGATAGATAAATACGTAGATAGGCGATTACACATGCAATTTTAGTAAAACAATTTGTTTTTGAAATAAAACAACGATATCAAATACAAAATAAAAACGCTTTATTGGCATTAAGAACTAAAACATTTGAAACAAGTTTTACTTAGACTAAAGAGTATAGCTACATAAACGTCAAAAATGGTTGAAAAATAACGCTATCCATGCTTACTTCTAGTTTACCATCAACTAGTAAATGCAATGATTTTCAAATGAACATGTAATCTATGAGACAAACGCAGTTATTACAAATCGGCGAAGTAATTTAAAATCCCTAAAAAATCCTTTTTCAAACATAATAAATTTAAGCTGTTTCATATTAATGGTACAAAATAATATCACTGCGTTTTCAGGGTTTAGTTCTCCAATAACTCAAGTGGACTTCTAATCTTCGTACTACATATCGTAACTCTGAGAAAGGTACAAATTTCGTCTTATGTCTAGATGGCGCTGATCAATAGCCTAGTAGTTTATATCATGTAAATTTTTGTGGATGTCAAATAATTCCTCTTTAAACTATGAAATATAAGCAGTCAGTTTCTTTTCCCTTGTAAAATTATTCAAATATGAGCTAAGATTATTTGACAAATATGCGTCTAAATAGATGGTATTGTGTGTTACGGAGTAATTTAGAAATGAACACTTGCTAACATGGATAGATGGCGCTAATCCTAAACAAAATAAAAGGACGGCACTATCCGAAAAATCTGTGCAATAAGCGCCATCTAGTTGATTTGTCTGTTATCACTAGAAATTAGAGTAGCTTTGATAAATTAATTTCAAAAATACCTATTCGACGCTCGTCGCGACATCTAGTATACCAACACGTACTAAATACCCGAATACGCTGTCTTGTATCGTGATTAGCAGTCCTTTTCAGTTATTGGTCCAAGGTTCTCACCAATTTTGTTGAATCAGAGTTCAGTATGTCCTTCCATTGGTAACGCTTTTCAAATTTCGTAGCAAACTTTATTTTTAGCTAATATCGAGTAATGTCTTTGTGAAACTTGACATTTCGCTATTCAAGTCTCCCAGAACAAGGTAAATGTTTACCTTAAGAGAAAGCAAGAACCCTCTTTCTTTCTATAACTTAATTTCTAAATAAAACTGACTAGAAAATTAAATAAGTGTAAATAAATAGTTTGTTATCGACATCATAACAAATTTCAACAATCAGCGTTGAAATGTTCTTTGGTTCAATTAACTACAGACATGAAATAAATTTACTATATTTAGAAGTATTGCACTGCCCAAGATTGTCAGTCTTCTAAATAGTAATATAAATAATTAAATGCAAAGACCAGATAATTCAGATATATTAATAAAAATAATTTAGATGGTAAATACTCTTAAGATTAAACTATAAATAAAAATAGATATAGACATGCTAACGAAAGATACACGAAAAGGTTAAAAAGACCTTCAAAGGAACGTAGCAGTATTGACATAGGACCAGCGTTTTTAGAAAAGGACTTCGATAAATACTATTGAGATAATGATATATTTACAGTGCAAAGTGACACGAGCACTACAAGTGAAGATATAAATGACTCTACCAAACTACATATCTTTGAAACAATTAATATAAAACTCTAGTCCACTACCTTTATGAATGATGTTTTTTAAAAATAGATTCTACGGATGAATTCTGATGATATGAAAGTATATGTCAGATTTATACAGTTTGGTCCTTATAAACGGCTAGCGGGGAATGGGACGTCTAATCTTTGGTAGTGAGACTTATAGATAAGAATCGAATTATTGGGATTCCACATTTCCTTTTAATTTCTAAACTACATCAGACAATAAGTTTCTTGCTCGAGAAATTCTAACAACACATTTTAAACTCCACCTTTAACTTCTTTTTAAGCTTTAACATCAAATTTGTCAACCAATCTATTACTATCGGGAGAATCGTCAGCAAACTTAATTTCATTTGAAGAATCCGAATTTTCGTCAGCAAATTTGATATCAGACATGTCCATTCGTCTTAGTGTATCTGCATCTCTCGTTTCTCTAATATTATCGTTAACTCTTTTGAGGGTTGCCGAGTTGTCAAATTCCCTGTCTCTTCTATGTATTTTAACTGGAGACCTTGTTAGAGTTAAATTTTTCATCGGTATTGTTACTTCGTCTTTCTTTTTCTTTTTCTTTGACATTTTTGGAGAATTTTGTAGGTCTGTGATGCTGAAGTTTAATGGATGTATGATATTGCCTCTATCGATGACTTTTCGTGTGGATTTAACAGAGTCATTTGACTTGATCGATCGGTTGTCAGAGTTTCTTTTAATATGGCTTGAGGAAGGTCGATCTTCAGGGGATTCTGTATTGCTACCCGGATTCGGGCGAAGTTCTTTAGAAATGACTTCCTGTGAAACAAAAAATATTTTTATTTTGTGATAATCCGAGTAACCTGTTATAGATGACAACAATATTACCTCGTAAATCGGTGATTTACTCTCCCCAATTTCTTTAATGATATCACCTTCTTCCAAAGGCGGTATCCATACCAAGAATGCTGGATCCATTCCCAAATAAGAGCCAGGAACGGAACCTAGAAAAAAGTTTTTGACTTGATACTTGAACTGAACTTGACTAAATATCAAATCAAAATACACAATGTTATCATAAAATTCATTTCCAAAATACACGAATTCAGATATACAGTCTGATTTCACTTAACATATAACATTGACAAGTAACCCATTTACTTACCAGCGTTATTAACTTCGTAGTCATAATAATCGATCTCCATTTCAGGATGTGAAGTAAGACTCAAGTCAGATCGAAGAAGGCGCCGGTTGCAACTCTCCTTAGTATGCTTTGGATTGTCTCGGATCCTCGCTGAGGAGACTCCGCTCAGTGCAGGGGAATACCAGCCCTGCTTGAGAAAACAATTAAGTTAAGCCCTTCGTCTAATTCGAAAACTACAAAGCAACTTAATTCACTTTGCAATGGATTTTTTATTATTAATTATTATATATACGTGGGGCGTACTATAAGTTTCCGGAATGAATAAGAAAAAAATACTACAAATGGTCAAACGTCAAATGAATTTATTGTTTCTGAAAATATTCTTCGTTAGCGTTAATGCACATTTTCATACGAATGAACCAATTTTGAAAACATTTATGCCACTCCTCCGTGACAATCTCTAAAACATATTTTTCATACTCTTCAATAGCCTCTTCAGGTGATGAAAATCGTTGACCGCGTAGCTGGTTCTTAATTTTTGGAAATAAATAAAAGTCGCAAGGTGCTAGGTGGGGACTGTACGCGGGATGGCTCATAAGGTCAACGTTGTTCACCTTCAAAAATTAATTGGACTGTCTGACTGTGTGAGAACTGGCATTAACGTGGTGCAAGATGATAAGGCATTTACGGTTATTTTTACGGAGTTTGTCAATAACTTCCGGCAAACAAATGGTCGTGTACCAATCACTATTTACGGTACAACGATTCTTCAAAGCAACACTAGCCACGTCTCCAGTTTTATTAAAAAAAGATGCAATCATCCGCTTAGAGGCATTTTGTACGCGCGCCAATTTGGTTGGTTTCGGCTCATCTCGAAAGACCCATACGCTCAATTGCTGCTTTGTTTTGGGATCGTAACTATAAAGCCATGTTATGTCACCTGTTACTATGTCCCACACTAAAGTTGATGCCCCTTCGTTGAATCTGGTAAGCATGGCATTGCATCAAGTGACACGATCCGTATTTTGAGCCTCAGTCAAATTGTGTGGGATCCACCGAGTGCACAACTTTTTCACACCCAAATGTTTGTCTAGTATTTATTGTATTTAACTCATGCCTATGCCTAAAGATTCCCGAATCTCAATACATGTCACATGCCTGACTGTTTTGATCATACGGCGCTCAGCACCGATGTTTTTGTTGTTTACAGCAGTGGACGGGCGACCATCATGAAATTCGTCACTGACCGCGTTTGAATTCTGCAAATCAGCTTTAAATAGTCGTTTTTTTGTATGGTGATTCATCGCCAAAAGCAGTTTTAAGCCGAGGAAAGCTCCGCTGAGCTATTTAATTACACTTACAGTCATGAAAAATCATAAAATAAAAATTTTCACGACTTAAATCCATGGTGATGTAGACAACCAATTTCTAAATGACGCCACAATGTAAAAACAAGTGACGGTCAGATGAAACAAACAGTATTCTACAGCCAAAGAGTTTCATTTTCAAACGTTGTAATTACTTTTTAAATATTGTTTATGTGAGTGGCCAGTTCCGGAAACTTATGTTGCGCCCTATATATTAGAGTAAATATTGCAACTTACATTAGTCAAAGTAGCAGCAGATGTAGATGACGATGCTCGACTCGCACTCCTATCCTTATCCCATAAGCTGTCTCTGTCTTTCTCACTGCATGTGTCATCTCTCTCGCTCATACTTGTGATGCTTGTGTTTAGTTCTACGGTTACTGTTTCGCTGGTGGATTGTTGAGGCTGTGATGATATCTGTTGAAAGTTAAAATGTACATTCCTAGGTGTATAAGTATGTACTAACACGTATGTCTTCACAAGTACGAACCAATACACATATGAACTAATTTCCAAATTAACAAATATTTTCTTCAGAGACAAAAATCGCATCAGGAGTTGTTTTGCGCTTACACTTCAGTCCAGTATCTGCGGTAGAAACGTTTTTATTTTTTGCTCCATTAAAACTTACTTGTTGCACACTACCAACAGAAACAGTTTGTGATCGTTTCAACGGTGATGGCGCTACACTCTGCTTGCCAGCTGGTGCACTGCTAGAAGATACGTTCTCAGGAGTAACAGTTGCTTGACTGGTCACACTGCCTGCGCTAGCTACACTTGCGTTGTCAATTTGTTCGGCCTCAACATCTGTGCCTTGATCTTCTTCATCTCTGTTAAGAACAATATGTTTATTACTATTGATACCAAGGTTGACCTTGTTGTTTGAACAACACAAAGAAAAATTGCTTCGATTTGACTGGACTGGACCCAGCGTCTGTTGCTAGTAGTTGTAATAGGTTTACTGGCTACGACTGAATCTCGTTTGAACCGCGTTAACGCGCGTTATCAGCGCATCCACTGCGCGTCGTCTGCGCGTATAAAATACGCCGTGTGCATAGGCCCTAAAGATAACAAATCGAAGGTTTCTCAATGGTTTTCCTTTTTTATTTAATCCTGACTTTTTATTTAATCGTTTCTTTTTTGATGTCAGTGCCACTTATCAGAAATTTCTTCCTTTAGCTTTTTATAGCTATCCAAAGCTGACGATAAATGTCGCTGTAATATTGCTGTAATATAATATCTGTGTTGTTCGATCTATGTGACAACAGTCATATCAAACTCGTGGAGTTATTCCACAAAAACAACATAATGAATATTATAGAAATTAAACTTAATACAACAATGTTAATAAACTAGAATAAAATATAAAAGACTAAAATAAAATGAATTAATAAGATTTGCGCCGTGGGGCGACGGCTTAAGAATACATTGTCGCCTCCCTATACATGCCCGTGGGGGTCGTAAGAGGCGACCGAGGGCGTCACAAGTGTCCATCTGCTTAGCGTTGTGGTAGGCTTTGTGCCGACTGGATAGCGACCACAGTACACACGGCGGAAAACCCTCCACAGTGAAACGCTTTTGCGAATCGCGTTCAGGGATCAGTTGGTGTACATCCAGTGCACGTGGAGTTTTCGGCGCGGTATCTGGGAGGACTGAGGCGGATATTCGCCATGTCACTTGTTGAGGGATATCTAGTTGACCTGCCGCCCAGGGAAACCCGTAGAAACGGTTGTCCGCTGGCCGCCCGCGGTACAGTACAGGGGCCCAATAGGGACTAACTACCCCTAGAGGCTGCCCCACCATGCCGCGCATAATCTTGGGGTAGGTCGTCGTGCCGGTTAGTGACCGGAATATGGAGTCCCGGCGGCATATCCCGGGGGGGTACGGGGGCCCTTCCGTTCGGCGGGTCAGCCGGCTATCCTTCAAAAGATCAATGGCATGTATTGCAGTTCCCCTCGTTTTTCTTCTTCGGTACGGTGCCGAAGGCTTCATCTCTTCACACTACCGTCCTTCTTACCCACCATGACAGCGCAACATAAGAATGCAGATCGTCCAGCGGTGCCTAATCCCCCCACCGCGTTTATTATTGAGTTCGCTAACATCCGCGGACTCCACTCCAACCTCAAAGCTGTCCACCATCACCTCGAGACAGCCCGGCCTGCCCTGCTTTTCCTGACGGAGACGCAGATCCGCCGTCCGAATGATATGAGTTACTTGAACTACCCCGGCTACTCGCTTGAGGAAAACTTTCAGGCCAAAGCCGGGGTATGTGTATATATTCGTTCGGATGTGTGCTGTCGCCGTCTGCGCTGCCTGGAGGACCCCTCCTTTTCCACTATGTGGGTGCTCGTAGAATCTAGTTGTTCAGCTAGAGTCTTCGCGTGCTTATATAGATCCCACAGCGGGGATGCGGAGACAACTAGGCTCTTTGACCAACTGAGCCAGGCGACTCTTGACGCGCAGGCGCAGTTCCCATCTGCGGAGATGGTCGTGTTGGGGGACTTTAATGCTCACCATGAATCATGGTTAAGTTCCCTCAAGACTGACCATGCAGGTAGAACTGCCCACGCTTTCGCTCTCACGCATGACTTGACCCAACTGGTAACCCAGCCCACCCGGGTTCCAGACATATCGGATCATGCACCCTCTTTGCTTGACCTTCTGCTCGCGAGTCACCCTACCTACTATACAGTATCAGTCAGCGCCCCCCTGGGAAGTTCTGATCACTGTTTGGTTGGGTGTAAGGTTTTCCAAATGCCTCCAACTAAGCTGAAGGAGGTCACTCGTCGCATTTGGCACTACTCGTCGGCGGATTGGGATGGTATGCGCGACTACTTTGCGTCCATCCCTTGGTTGCAGCACTGCTTTGCGGGAAAGGATGCCTCAGCAGCTGCCGATGCTGTTGTCGATGAGATTGGAACGGCTATGAATTACTACATACCGTCTTCCAGTGTCATCGCCAATCGCAGAGGACGCCCTTGGTTCAATCGCGAATGCATGGACGCTGTTAGTGAGAAACAGGCTGCATATCGTGGTTGGATCAAGGGTCGTGTAACAAAGGATCCCAACCTTGCGTCCCTTAAAGCAGCCTATAACAAAGCAACCAAGTCTTGCAGGAGGGCTTACATAAGAGCGGATGCCCAGCGCGTTTCACGGATTGGCCAGAAGCTGGTAGCCCATCCCACCGGTAGCCGTGCCTACTGGAGCCTGGCCAAAGCTGTGCAGTCCAATTTTTGTCGTTCGTCGCTGCCGCCTTTGAGGTATCCCAATGGATTTTTGGCCTATGGCCCCGAAGAGAAAGCCAATTTATTGGCCGACCTTTTTGGGGCTAACTCGCGCATTCACGACCAAGATGCGCAACCGCCGTCAATTCCCCACTGCGGAGTCACAATGCCTGATATAGTTATCAGACAATGTGATGTCCGCAAGGAATTGCAGACTCTTGACGTGCGGAAAGCCTATGGTCCGGATGGGATACCTCCTATCGTCCTTAAAAGGGGTGCGGCGGAGTTGTCTCCCGTACTGACGCGCTTATACCGCCTCTCATACCAATCTGGTAACGTGCCCCTAGCTTGGAGGGAGGCCAACGTGCAACCTATCCCCAAGAAAGGAGATCGGTCTGATCCGACAAACTATCGCCCAATAGTTGTCACTTCAGTGCTCTGCAAAGTGATGGAGCGGATTCTAAATATCCAGATAATCCGGCCGGCACCTGGAACGTCACTCCATTCTTAATGATCGACAGTACGGGTTTCGGCCGAACCGATCAACGGGTGACGTTCTAGCGTATCTAATGCATCTCTGGGGTGAAGCTATCGACAAACAGGGCGAAACCTTAGCGATAAGTCTGGATATTGCTAAGGCCTTTGATCGGGTCTGGCACCGTGGTCTCCTCTCCAAGCTTCCGGCATATGGTCTTCCCGGCCGCCTTTGTGAGTGGATCTCCGGCTTTCTGCGCGAGCGAAGATTGCGTGTCCTTGTTGACGGAGGCACTTCGCGGCTCGTGACAGTTAATGCTGGGGTGCCACAGGGCTCCGTGCTGTCGCCCACGCTGTTCCTTCTGCATATCAATGACTTGTTGCCTTTTGGCAACATTCATTGCTATGCAGATGATAGCACAGTGCACGGTTGCTATTATAAGCAATCGTCAAGCACCCGGGAGGACCCTGAGAGAAACCGGGAAAAACTTGTCGATGAGCTCAACCATGTTTTGGAACATATATCGTCGTGTATAAAATAAAATGACATATAAAAGTCGTGGGGCTCCCGAAACCTGGTTGAGTTCAACGCCAAGAAAACCCAGGTATGCGCGTTCAGCTCCAAAAAATCCCCATTCCTTCCACTTCCCCATCTTCAGGGTACAACGCTGTCGCTGCAGGACAAGCTCAGCCTGCTGGGGATGAGCATCCGGAAGGACATGAGCAACAAAGATTATATCGAGAGCGTCATCTGTACCGCGTCGCGCAAGCTTGGCATCCTGAACAAGGTGCACCGATTTTTTACTCCAGAGCTGCGATACCTGTTGTATAAAGCTCAGGTTCGAAGCAGCATGGAGTACTGTTCGCACCTTTGGGACGGCTCTGCCAAGTACTTGCTCGATGCCCTAGATGGACTGCAGCGCTACGCCTTCCGTGTTGTCAACGATCCTCATGTAACTAAGCATGCGGAGTCGTTACAGCTTCGCAGAGATATAGCGTCTCTTAGCGTATTCTATCGCCTGTATCACGGTGAGTGCTCTGAATAGTTATTCAACCTTATCCCTTCCTCTCCTTTCCATCAGCGGACCACCCGTGCCGGACTGCGTTGCCACAGATGGGCGGTCAGTTCAATACCGTCCCGCACTAAAAAGTTTGGCAATTCGTTTTTATGCCGAACCATCAAATTGTGGAACCAACTCCCGGCGCATGTATTCCCTCCCATCTATAACATCGGGTCCTTCAAACGTAGTGTGAAGAAGCATTTGGCCAGACCGGCAAAATGATAGTGACGGAGTGAAGATATTTGTGTTTTCCATCCGTTTCTCTCATCTCTGGACTGTATTCGCACTTTCCATCAGGCGCGGTGCAGTCATTTTGCCGAGTCACAATAAAAAAAAAATAAAAAAAAATAACCTGCACAGGTCTTCGTCTAATCTGTTTCCTCTTAATCTATTATAGTTTGATCTCAAAGAATGTGAACGTAATTAACGTAAGCTTTTTTATTCACATAAAAAAAAATGTAATGTAGGTAAATAAAAGGTAAAATAAGCAAAATGGGGTCATAATTGTGAGGAATACGTGTACAAACAATAGACAACCGGTAATTGGAGAGACAATTAACAGGCTCTGGCTAATTACTGCTCTTGTTTGAACTACGTGTGTTTGTTGATTGCTTTTTGTTTTAGGAAGGGGTAGGGGATGAGACACGTGAAAGTGCTAGTGTGACATCGTTAGGGGATTGGATGCGTTTCGACTTGTTGATTTAAGAATTGAAAGATTTATGACTTTGATTTATTCCAAATGTTTTATTACGGGGTACAACCCAAAAACAGTTGAGTAAGAAAGAACATACAACGTTAAATCAATCAGATGATACATATGTATCTACTTTAGTCAAATTCGGTATAGAATGTTTAATAAAAGAACGTTGCTAGGCAACCAATGATGGATTAGGAAACGAACATTTTTTTGTCAATACTCATTATCTAGGCTACCATGGCCTGCTCGAGTAATTGGAATTTAAATAGATAAGTGCGTAATTGGGTTGCGTAAAAGTAATATACTTATCTATCCAATTACTACAGTTTCCAAATTACCTAATGATAAGTATGATTTTTTAATAAAATAATTAGGTTTTTTAATACCTATTAATACTTACTGCTAGATAGTAATGATAGATGAAAAGAAACAAAATTGTAAGATTTTTATTGTATGTAATTTTACTACTTATCCAGCTTTAATATCCGATTCTGAATTTGAATTACTCGAACCCGTATGTTTACAATCTATCCCTACAATTAAAAAAAAATCATTAGGGATGACACAATTAATTACTGGTACTTTTTACGTTGGTTTCAAATTACTTACTACTGATTGCAAACTTCTAGTGAACGAATTCCATTACAGACATGACGTCAAGATTAGCATTATCACACCCTAAAACCTAAAAATCATAATATGTTCTTAATTTGACATTTATACTACATCGAATTTGTCTGGAGTACAGTCGAGTACTTTATGAACAAATATTGGAATAGGTAGAGCATACTTCAAGCATACCGCAGTTATTGTATTGTACTTTTTGTACACAATAAAAATATTGAACAAAAGTACAAAAATATTGAAAAAAAGCTAGCAATTATTTGTACGTTAGTATATTTAACCTATAAACCTCGTAAATGGCAATCACTTACTGTACTATCACCCACCTCTGCTCTATAGTTTCAGAAGCTCGATCCGAGTCTCTCAGTCTAGTGTGTTTGGTCTTTCCCGATGGCAGAAGACGACGCAGCGAAACTCCTCCTCCAACCACCTCTGACAGCAGCGTACTTCGAGACCCCGCTGTGCCTACTCCCAATTCCAGGGATGCTGAACATGCTGCGACAAACAAAAAATAAATAAGAAACAATGACAATCTGAGCTCAATTTAAAAGTCCAGAAATGTGTGATATGATAAACTTATCGGTTATCACGATATTCTGGCAAATGTGTTCTTATAATCAAAGCATTATGCTTCACTTTTCCATTTTATACATATCTCTCAATAGGATAGGTAGTGACCAAAATTGTCCTTGTAAAACTCCATAGTTTCGTCTACTCATAGCAGCCACTTTATATACATATGTTTATGCCAGGTGCTTGTGACCTGGCATTTTTAAGGACAATCTCAATGTAGAATGACACTATTTTTCGGAACTAAATTCTGTACTTTCTTTTTATATATAGTATCAAGTGACGGGACGAACATGTCACTCAGAGCTTCAAATCGCAAAGATCTAAGGGGCACTGCCACTGCGCCCGTCACCCTGAGACATAAGTTGACAAGTCCCATGTACCTGTAATTTCACCAGCACCCGTACCCCTCAAAACCGAGACTCAGTAATGATGACATTACTGCTTGGCGGCAGAAATAGGTAAACTGGCAGTACTACCCTGGACGAAATGTTTCACAAGGAGCTTTACTGCTACAGTATATTTTTTTTCCAAACAAAACCACCGTCTCGGACCCTATACATGTTTTATGGTCACGGCTAGCTGATTCCTAATGTGTAACAACCGCGAAAATAGCGAAAATATCTGGACTCGACACAATCTCAATGGGTTGAGAGATCTAGACCGATATTCTCCCAAGCTTTCGTTTACACTCGCTCTATAAATAACACAATAAATATTACCTATTGTACCAAGGACACTACGATACCCATCACGCCTCAGCGCTCACTTGTTGCACTGTTTCTAATTCTGACTCTAAAGTTGACACCTCATATACAGCGCAATATTTTCATATCTATAGCATTCATCTTATTTTCATGCTTTCGATTTTGTTTAACCAGTACTCCATTAATTACGACCAACACGTCTTATCATCAAGTGCTTTATTAAGTACATTGCTAAGGATGACCGAAGCGCGCCGATCGTTCAAAGATTACTGAAACTCAAGAAATAGTTTCTCACACTCTGATTGGCCGGGAGCGTTCGCGGCCGCGTCGCTTAGGGCGGTACGTTGTCGGAGACGCCGTTTTATTACTAGTACGGGGATCTAATAGGATTCCAACAAGTAATTAAGAATTCAGTTAAGAGGAAAAGTTTCAAAGTCTCCTAAGTTAACTTCAATTTAAATTCAAAGAGAAAGTGTAGACAGTCCACTACTAGAAATCAGTAAAACGAAGATTGCAATAACTTTTTTATTTAAAAAAAAAACTACTTCAACAGTTTGCTTATTGGCTTTATTATTTGAATTACATCTATTTGTCAAATTTTAGTGCCTCCGTGGCCGAACGGTTACCTTGCCGGACTGCCATGCAGATGTCCTGGGTTCGATTCCCAGACCGGGAGAAATATGTGTATGGTCTACATTTATTTCTCTCGTGAGTTTGGGTGTAATTTGTGGTTGTCGATGTGCGTATCCATGGCACCCGCGACCAGGGTTTCCCTAGTGCGGGGCTATGTTGAGTGTGTGCATTATTATATTATTATTGGCATTGGTTAACGGAAAGTACGCGAAACCGGATTAATCTCCCAGTTTGACACCCTTATAGATAGAATACCACAGACTAGGTAGAATGTTTTCTTTAAATTTAAACAACAAAAAAAGAATCATCAAAATCAGTTCACAAATCGTGTAACATAAAAAAAATACAGTCGAATTAAAAACCTCCTCCTTATTGTATAAAAAAGAAGTTTTATTGAAAGACCCAGAACAGACGCGTTGAATAAATGAGACAGCTTTGCAACCTTGCAGTGGCGAGGCGTTCATATAACTCGATTTACACCGGCTTGCCTAAAATTTTCCACATATCCGCTCACGCGACGCGCTCCTCCTACCGCAAAATGGCGGCTATTTGGTTTCGCAAACTAGAAAAGCATTCAGTTTAAATACAAGTTTTTTTAAATAAAAATTATTATTCTGCATTGCTAAATAAATACCCTCCGTAATACCAACAAAAACATCTCAAATAAAATGCAGTAATACACCGCAAATCCTGCACTTAAAAAGCACTAATGACATTTTTGGTGTACTTGGATAAATATGATAATATTCCGTTTGAGTGGTTCTATCGTTTACCATGAAATTACTCCTTAAAGTATAGTTTATAAACATTCATATTCAGGATAAACTTAAAAAACGCTACTTACGGTATGTTTACAAACAATAACACACACGATTGTCGTGACGTATTTTTGAAGTTGTTTATTTTTTTTAAATGACAGACCCACGCATTAAAAACTGTATGGTTTGCTAGAGTAGTTACCGAAATAGCAATTAATATTAGTTCTTTTACCTGTTATAACTTCGATATCCGATAAATCGGTATAAAATCATCACCGGTACCTCTAGGTGTGGTATGCATCTACGGCTGCATGTATCGCGTGAGCGGGTATTATCAAATACTACATTTCGTGCTAAATTTTATGCGTATATACGTTAACCAGCGAAATGAAGTACCTTGCGTGCTAATAAGTTCCGTTTAAGTGTCAGCATGGCGCCATTTTTTCTCTAGGGAAGTGCTTTTTGTTTTACTCCGGCTTTACTAACTACAATTTTCGCCTCGCCACTGCAACCTTGTATATATTGTGCTATGCTCTGGTGTTCATGCATAAGAATATGTTGAACATAAGTAATGTTTCGATGCTACGTACCATCACTATCAGTAAGCGACTCCTTGTCTGCAGCTCGTTGATACGCTCTGGTCCGATGTGCTGAATGCAGTGCTAGACACAAAGCAGCAAGTGCAGCAGCTGCTGCGAGGGCCACAGCGGCTCCCCTAGCTCCGCCCCCGCTGCGCCACCAATGCACGTTGCTAACTGATGAGGCCCACGCAGCTGACGCGTTGCGAATTGGTTCTGTTGAAAAGATAAGTTGGTATCGCCAGATGCCTGTCTGTGCAGTGCTACTCAGAGCTTTAAACCGCAAAAACCTGAGGGCACTACCACTGCGTCCGTCACGCTGATTCATAAATTGACAAGTCCCATGTGCCTGTAATTTCACCAGCACCATTATCCTTCAAAACCGGACCACAGTAATGCTCACGTTCCGCTTGGCAGCAGAAATAGTGAAGGTGGCAGTGCTACCCTGGACTTACTCTTTCACAAGGAACTCTACTGCTACTAAGACTTCGAAATTAAACAAAGAGAAAGTCACTCTTCTGTCACCAGTGCTTCTGGTAAACATACGATACCGTCCGCGTCAGAGAGGGACAAGCAACCCGGGTTTTAACCTAGTTTAAATCGGGTTAAAACACATTAACTGCAGCTTCCTTTCCTTTACAATTCTGAGTGTTTCCAACTTTTTTCTCATTCGACGAAGAACCTCAACATTGATGACCATTTGTACCCACGATATGCCAAGCATACGTCTGTACAGTCAGTCAAGGTTCAACACTCCATACCAAACAGCAAGTTGAATCAATCGGGTTGGAAAAAATATACAGTAAAATTGTGGATGTACACTGATTAATTACTGTACGGTGTAAAACATGAGTCTTAAAAATTTTCACGATACAAAAAAAACAAACTTACCTCGAATTTTACAAGAAAACCGAAGTATTCAATAGGTACTTTACATATACCAATGATTTTGTTTGTATCAGTATACGACACACATTTTTCAAATGGCTTTGATTTCTTTAGTAAAAAAATAAATTCGTGAAATAAAGCCAGTGTTCCAGCTACTCGACCCAAGCAAATTGAACAGTATTAGTACGGGAAAATCTTGAATTCCAGCCGAGGTAGTATTTAACATCGATCGTTAGTGATTGAATGAATGAATGCCATCACTGCTATTCCACTTACACTTTATTAAAACTCAACTGGACGATGTCCACAACTATAGTCATACTTCGTTCCGGACTTTATCCCTTAACGAGATACCCTACCGAAATAATACATAATATAATTGGAATATTATCTCAATGAAGTCTCAACGGAATTACAATGACCATTGGTTTCAAGAATTGGGCCCCAATCTTTACTCTCTGCGTATCCACATACTTTCGTTTCGTGGTTATTTATATATTGTATTTCAATTTATTATTCTTTTGTTTTTAATTACTTACCAACTTGCGTAGCGTGAGCTAGAAAGCCTCCAGCACAGCGTTCGCTGGTATCCCCTGAGCGCAGTTCCACGAGAATATGCCTACCACCAGCAATTTCAATCACACCCGTGGAGTCTGTTGTGGTTTCCACGTCACCAGTCTGCATTACACAATAAAACTTTAATATATAGGATGATATCTAATAATAAAAATGCTACACATTACATTCGTCTCGGACGTAAAGAGTAGTATTAGGTCGAATTAACTGCATGCAGTCGATATTAACTGCAGGTGGTTATTAACTGCCTAGCTCAAGAGCTCAGTGTAAAAGTTGATGTCGCGATGAAAGCACTCCTTTACTATTGTTACGCGCTGCCGGCGTAATCGAAGCCAAAAACGAAAGCATGCGTGGATAGATCCACTAGTTGTTGTGTTGCTATAGAGAAGGTGACTTTTATGTACTGTATCCGGAATTAAGACAAGATGACAACAAATTTTACGACTACTTCAGAAGGTTGATTGCCATTTTTGATAAATTAAGCAATATATTAAAAGCAAACAAATAATAATATATCCTCGTAAGAATGTCAATTACTGCTTTTGATTCTCGGACTGTTGTTCATATCGACGCTTGAAGTTGAAGTCTCAACTTCATGCAGTTGAGGTCTCGGCTGCATGAAGTTGATTACGACGTCACGCATTACCCAATCTCCAGAACATAATAGACGTCAGACATTACCCAAAATACGCTGGTTGGCAGTCCAGGCTAGTTGATGTATACTCACAACAGCAGAACTGTCAGGGCCGTCCCAAGACGCCAATAAAGGAGACCCTAATGAATCTCCATCTCTCGCCCTGAGCGCCTGACCGGCGCACGGCAGCCGCACAGCCTCGAAGCGTAAACGAACCACAAGACCTTCTTCAGCCTTCGAAAGAAAAAGTCATAATTAAAATAACAAACGTAGAAGTCTATCTATACAAATGGAAAACATTGTAAAATAGGCCTCATTCAAATGTAAGTGATACAACGTATCTACAGTAAAATAAAAATTGGCAAAATTTGAAAACATTTTAACAATCAGATTTTAATCCGTACGATAAAACTCGGACGTTGCAACGTTTATAAACAAGAGGCTTCCATTATTAAGCGACAAGCGCTTGTCGTAAACTCGCAAATTTTAATTGAAATGCTCTAGCGTTCGATTCGCATATCTCGGCTTCGGATTCTGTTGTTACCATCAAAGCTACAGTCCAGAGATAAAATTTTGGATGACGATCTTCGCTACTTTTGTTTGCACGAGATTTGAATATGGGTGTAATTTTATTTAACGTAAAATCCTAAGAACCTTCGATATTTTGTTAATCTCTGTATTTTTATAGGACCATAAGTCCTGGGGGCCTTCCATAACCTCTTAAAATAATATTACTTTAACCTTACATTGACTTTTCGTACTATAACGCGCTTCAAGTAAGCTTATTGTAATGTTAAAACTATGATGTTTTATTGACAGCTTTGTGACTTGAACATTAAAGGAATATTGCTCTTATGTCAAATTCAACAATCTTAAAATAATTATTGTCTTAATATTGATTTGTAATGATTAAAAGTTAAGTTGAACTTATTTATTTACATATCTCTACTAGTAAATAATTTTTCGTTAAATAAAAATACGCAATGTTTATTTCGTAAAATTATAACAGCGCCATCTATATGCACTTTGGCGAAACTAACAGTTGACACTAGACTTTAGTTCCGAATTCGCAACGTGACTATCAAGACTCCGCTTGTTTTATTTATTTTCCTTCCTGAAAATGCGGAATATTTATTGAAAATAACGTAATTTTAAAGTATTTTATTATTATACACTTTCTTTTTTTTAAACAGTCAAAATTCTCTGAATGTAAATAACATTAAGTACTTAAACGTTATACTACGATAAGACAACTCGGAACATCAAAAAAGAAAGAGATGGCATTATATAGTTCACATAGTTATCTCTTTCCTAGTTTTAGTAAGGAATAGACAATATTGGGAAATCATTCGTTATTTCAGTCACTTTTGCAATAATACATTACTTGGTTGACAGGTTCGTCATGATACGAATATGAGTAATATTATAATAAGCTTACGTTAAGCTTACATTGAAATAAGATTGTTTTTGGAAAGGTTATGGTAGGCCTCCAGAAGACTTCGAACCGAGTACAAAGCAATGATGATGATGACCGAAACCGAAACCCAAGCTCCAGTCACAATGAAGCTTATGCGGATTCCGTTCAAAAATTAGATGAAACCACCCTTTCGATTAATGTTTCAGGGCCTTGACAAATTTGATGTCCGGTGGTAAACTTTGCTCCAAAATTTTTGGTTAATTAACCCTTTGTTGTAAATTACTGTGATTGCTGGATTTTTCCGCAGATAATTTTCTTTTAGAACATAAAGGCCTACGTACAATTTTATATACAAGAGTTATCTTGAATGTAAAAGTGCATTTATTTGACAGCCTCCGTAGTCGAATGACTTGCGTACCGGTTTTCATGGTGTCGCTATCTCTAAGGTCCCAGGTTCGATCCCCGACCGTGTCAGTGTAGAAAACTAACTTTTCTATATTGTCTCGGGTCAAGTATTTGTGGTACCGTCGTTGTTCCCGATTTCCATAACACGAGTACTTCAGCTACTTGGTTTGGGATCAGAGCAACGTATGTGATACTGGACTAACAGTTGCTACGTACAACTGTTCCAATGAAACATGAAACAAATTGATTCTTGTAGACTGTCCAGTATTTATTAAACAATGTTATTCTTAGTTAGTAATTTATGTTTTAGAGTTTAAAACTAATTTCTTGTATATTAACCATTGACTTACAAATAAATGGACGACGGGTCTAATACAAAAACCACGAAAAAAATGTCCCAAGTCAACCTATTTAAACGTAGTGACATGTAAAGGAATATGAAAAAGCTATAACGTTGAATTTAAATTGTAATGTCATCGCAGTACTGTCTAATTTTGCTTGCTTCGCTGTCAGTCGAACAAACGAAGACTAAAGCGTGAATGACGCTCTCACTTTTTAGCGCGGACCCGACGTCCATATAATTGTAAGTCAATGATATTAACGCTAAAAAAAATTAAGTCTTAAATGACGATTAGTGTATTTAGAGTCCGTTGTGGGGTGAAAGGTGATTGCTTTTATGGTTTGGTCAAAGTGGATGGTAATAGAATGAAGACACAAATATATAGAACAATTTTTAGTAGGTACCAATAGAGGACCTTGTGAAAGATTTCGTCCAAGTCCTGCCACCTTGCCTATTTCTGCCGCCAAGCAGTAATGTGGACATTACTGCGTTCCAGTTTAGAAGCACATGGGACTTATCAACTTACAGTACCCCTAAGATCTTTGCGATTTAAAGCTCTGAGTGGCACAGCATCTGTTATGGGCTGCAGTCGCTTACCACTCGGCGCACGACGTGTTCATCCCGTCATTTAGTATCTAAAATATAGTAAGATTAGTAACAATCGCTATCAGTCTCTTCAACAATGAATTTATCAGATAATATTCAATTTGATTTCTATGTTCAAACATAGCCGCCACAGTTATACGAAAAGAATCACTTTAAATTATCACGCTACAGGCGATTAGCTCTGTGCAAACACCCTACCTTGTAAATGATTTATTTTTGTTCTCTATTTGTTATTGATAATTAGTTTAACTATACGTGAATTTGTAAGAATCTACTTGCATTTAGATAGATGGCGTGTCGCTTACCAGTAGACGCACGACTTGTTCGTCCCGTCCCTGGGTATTATAAAAAAACAAACATAATAATGGACTAGGTCGACCTCGGCCTACATACTTAACCAGATTGAGGGTGTTCGTAAAAAGGTAAGATCAAAAGCAGGTGGCGTTGGATAGTTGACGCCTACCCCGGCGGAAGATCGATGTGTATGTACATATGTGTCCATTTTTTACCACAAAGCTTAGAAACCTGATACCAATGACTAAAATATCTTCATCAAACGATATTCACGTAACAGGGGTGATAAATTCGAAAGAAATCCACGAATTAATGTTCCAGAACAGGTGGTAGTCCGAATGTTAAATGTCGTAATTTGGAAACACTTGATTCTTCGTCTCAAAGTTTTAATGGCCATTCTGGACAGAATGACAAAAGGCGAAGTTTGCGGACGTTGTCGAATTCCTCCGAGGCAATCAAGAGAACGTGACGAGTGTCTACCTACAGACAGCACAATGAGTGTGCGGAATAAAAATGTCAAGATTGCCTTTTGTTCGCTCAGAGCAATGACAATTTGCGGAACGTTTGTTGAGAATAGACTTGTAAGTGGCAATAACTCGAAGCCTATCTTGGGTATTTGATTAGAACGTAGACTTATAAAATATGAGTTCAAACTGTCCTTGAAAAAAAAAGTTCAAGTACAGGCAAAAGTTTAAATTCAAGTTTAAATCCAATTATACGAACTTTGCTAACTGCCTCCGTGGCCGAACGGTTACCATGCCGGACTGCCACGCAGAGGTCCCAGGTGCGATTCCCGGGCCGGGAGAAATGTTTGTATGGCTTATATTTATTTCTCTCGTGAGTTTGGGTGTAATTTGTGGTTGTCTATGTATGTGTCCATGGCACCCGCGACACAGGGTTTCCCTAGTGCGGGGCTACGTTGAGTATGTGCGTTATTTATATTTGCTAGAAAATTTCAAGAGTATACAGTCTGAAAACTTATTCATATTCATTTCTCGAGATTAAAAGTCATAATATATAATGAATTGTGCTATTTTTATAGTCTTATAGGGGACTGAAGTTGCTTGTTTACTAAGGACTTTTATCTTTTAGCTATGTTAGTCTGAATTTCATGGGAAAGTTCCATTACATGTTGTCGTGGATATCGCAGAAACTATTTACCAATTAATTGGCAGCCAATTTACCGTCTGTTGGTTTTCTACATAATTCAGTGAGTGTCCTACCTCATTTCACATCGGACATCCAGACGTACAACGGGATATCACACTTAATTGGATGATACTCATTTCAAACGACTAAGTTCTTTTCGTTATCCTTTATAATTCGTACAGCTATGGAATGGAATTCCCAGCCAGCGTCTGCTTTTCCAAGCATAAATTCTTAGAATTTCTTTAAAGTGCTTTTGAATAGGCATCTTTCTGATAAGCTATGACCGAGCCGAGCTAGCGATAAACCCCATCTTTGTTTATCAAGAATAAGTCCATTTAATATTAAAAGAATTATATCGGAATTAATTGCGATGGACAATCCGTAACACCCTATTTTTACGTTTTCAGTAGCAGATATACTATAATCGCTTGCCAACCTTCCTTGTCAATAGATATAGTAAACGATAGAACGAAGTCAAGGTCGCATTTTCTGTCATTGTTATCTTTCGCGTAAACCTTCTCTAACAACTCTAAATTAAATTGGAGCTATTAATATTTCACCTTGAAGTAATTTAAAATAAAATACGCTTGGAAAATTCTTCATCCTACTGGATTTTCAAGAGATCTTTTGATTGGGGATATAAATTTGGAAATCCAATTAATTGTTGTAGTCAGAAGCGATCGCAAATTGTAGTGATGGAAAATTACCAACTTTATAATCGTTAAAAGCGCCAAATTCAATGAAACCTCGTTCTCACAAGACTAAACCGAATTATCATTCATGGTATATGGACACTGAAGTATAAAGTACTGTATATAGAATATAACAGTCTCCACGTAAACTTGCTATGAATCT